CAGGACACCCCACAAGGTCCAAGCCCCCCCCACCTCCTTCCCCTCCTCACAGCTCCCACAATCCCATTATTTCCCCAACTCCTCCGGGCATTCCCATCCCTCAGCACCAACCCCAGCTGGGCTGGAGTCACCAAGCCCCCCCAGCCCCCCCAAGGGGCACGGGAAGAGCAGCAGCCACCCCACCCCATGAATTATTGAGGCAGGTAGGACATGGCCTTGGCCCCCTGCCACCCACACCTTCTCCTTCCTACCTCTTCCTTCTCCCCCTTGGGTGGGTGCCAGAGGGTGGGACCGGCTCCGGTTTCTCCCGTTGAGAAGACCTTTGGAGCTTGGATGTCACGTGGAGGGGAGGTCTTGAGGGGGGGTGGGTGTCCAGGCAGCCCCTTAAGACTCAGAGCTGGGGAGGTGGGGACGAGCAGACGCCACCATGACCGTCCCCGTCGCCAAGTCCTTCTACGACCTGAGCGCCACCACCTTGCACGGGGAGAAGGTGGATTTCAACGTGTTCCGGGGCCGGGTGGTCCTCATCGAGAACGTGGCATCCCTCTGAGGCACCACGGTCAGGGATTACACCCAGCTCAACCAGCTCCAGGCGCGTTACCCGAGGAGGCTGGTGGTGCTGGGCTTCCCCTGCAACCAGTTCGGCTACCAGGTGAGGTGAGGAAGAGGAGGGTGGGGGGGGAAAAAAAAACAGCCTAAAAAACAAGAGGGTCGTGGAATGGGTTGGGTTGGAAGGGACCTTAAAGACCATCTAGTCCTTATGCCATGGGTAGGGGCACTTCCCACTGGACTAGGTTGCTTCAACCTGTCCCTGAACACCTCCAGGGAGGGGTCACCCACACTTTTCCTGGACCTATTCCTGGGTTTTCCCACAGGAAAACGGCACCAACGAGGAGATCCTCAACAGCCTGAAGCACGTGAGGCCAGGGAACGGCTTCGAGCCCAACTTCACCCTCTTCCAGAAGTGCCAGGTGAACGGGCAGGACACCCACCCAGTCTTTGCCTACCTGAAAGCACACCTGCCCACCCCAGCCGACGAGGTGGGGCACCTGATGACCGAGCCCCGTTTCTTCACCTGGAGCCCCGTGCGACGCTCCGACATCTCATGGAACTTCGAGAAGTTCCTGGTGGGCCCCGAGGGGGAACCTTTCCGGCGCTACAGCCCCCGCACGGCCACGGCCCAGCTGGAGCCCGACATCCAGAGGCTCCTCAAGTTGGCCAAGTAGGGTGGGATCCACCTGCTTTTCCCTCGGGATGGCTCCGGCTCCCCGCCGGGTGACGGCCCCTTCCGAAACCGCCGCGGGGAGGGGGCTGGATGGGGGGTTGGAGAGCAGGAGCCACCGTGGGTTTGGTGGGAATAAAGGAGCCAGAAGGGAACAGAGCAGCCTCGGAGTGATTTGTTGGGGTGGAGGTTGGGATCAGCTTGGAAAAAAAAAAAACCTCACGGATGCAGGAAGATGGGCTGGAGCAGTGCCAGGGTGCAGGTGGGTGCTGCTGGGTGCCAAGAGCCTCACCCTGTCCCAGGGGAGGGATTTTTGGCTCAGCCAACTCCCTTTCTGCTCCGGGAAATGTGGAGCCTCTGGCAGGGCAGGGTTGGATTATCCAGGGTGTGTGTGGAGGGGGGTGACCCACACATGCAGGTCCCCAGAGGGAGGGAACAGAATGAAGGTGCTTCTCAGAGAGGTTTGGGAGAGTGTTGGGACAGGAGGGGGTTGGGGACACAGCAGGAGGAATCCCAAGGGAAATTACCTGCATTGGGTCCCAACACCCTGCAGGAAGCCCAGGGAGGGGGGTGACACTGACCCCCCCCCAAACCGCCTCCACCTGCACCACTGAGCTGGAACATGTCACATTTATTGTCCCCACGTGAGGCAGAGCACCCTTTGGGACCCCTGTTTTGGGGTGACAACCTGCTGGGCACCCTTTGTGTCTTCAGCACGAGGTGGGGGGCTCAAATCCATCCCAGCAGCCCAACGTGGGAGGTTTGGAGAAGAGAATCATGTAAGGGATGGTGCTGTCCCCAGGGATCCTCCTGTCGTTCCTCCACAGGGACCTCCTGGGGTGGTGGCAGGGAAGGGATCCGTGCTGGGATACAAACTGGAGTCAGAAGAGGGGGGTCATCTGGCGGGGGTCCTGGGGCAGGATGCTGATGGAGTCCTCAGCCCGGCCACAGAGCAGGCACAGCATGGTGTATTCCTGGGGGGGGGGACACAGGAGAACAGGGGGCTGGGAACACTGCCACCACCTCCCGGTGACAGCCAGGGAAACCTGAGCTGGCACCTGATCCTCCTCTGCAACAGGAGCTGGGGGGATCTCCTTTCACCACCCCCCATCCCCAGGATCAGCCCCACCCACTCCCCTGGAGCCCATTTTCCAGCATCCAGCTGTGGAATAGGAATTGTGCCAGGGAAGGGGGGGCTGGCAGAGGCACTGG